GGCTGACAGTAGTAGACATAAGAGAGTAAAATGCTGTGGCTGGGTGCAGTAGCTTACATCTGTAATCTCACCATTTTGGGAAGCTGAGGCAGGAGGATTGCTTGAGGCCAGGAGTTCAAGGCTGTAGTGACCTGTGATTGTTGTGATTGCCTAGGCACCAGAATGAGACCCTGTCTCTTAAAAAAAAAAATGCTGGAAGGGTGGAAGGGGTTGTCCATGATCCTGAACTTGCTTGTGGGGGAATGCCTAGAATTTTAATTTTTTCTCTTTCTTAATGGATGTGTGTGTGTGTGTGTGTGTGTGTGTGTGAAGGATTACAGAGATTCACATGTATTTTTGACCTGCTGTGTTTTTTATATTCATAAAAAGTGTTTTTATGAGTGTGTGTGGGGGAGGTGAAGGGGGCCATCCAAAGGACTGGGGATGTGATCTCCATCCCTGACAGCTCACATCCTGGCCTCTAATCCTCCCAGGCATGAACTCCTGGAAGAGGCCTGCCGCCAGGGCCTGCCTTTTGCTGCCTGGGACGGGCCCACAGTGGTCTCCTGGCTGGAGGTACTGGGACCCAGAAACGTCCTGTTGGTCCCCAACCCCTCTGACAGTCCCACTATTGGAGCTGGTGGAGTCCACCCAGCAGTATCCTACTCCAAGCCCAGAGATGGGGTGGGGGGCTGAGCATGTGAGGGCCTGGGAAGGGTCAGGCTTCCTGTTCATCTAAGCAGCTTCTTTCTCCTTCCCCTTCCACCCTGCTCCTCTGGCCATGCCTGCCTGGCTCTGGGTCTCCTGTTGTTTATCTCTGCCTCTTTGTGTCTCCCCATGTCTCTTTCTCTCTCTGTGGAATTCGGTCCCTATTTTTCTGCATAACTCTCCATCGTTGTGTTTTTGTCATTCCCCACATTTCTCCCCATGTGTTTGGCTTTCCCTGCCCATGTCTCTGTGGTTGTCTATCTTTGCCTGTCCTGTCTCTCCATCTCTCTCTTTCCCCCTCCACTCTGTCACTACCATTGTCTATCTCTCCTATTTGTCTCCATGGGACTCTCCCTCGTCTCATCTTTATGTCCTGTTTCTTCTTCCTGCAAATTTTCCCACATCTCTTTGGCCCCCACCTCCCTGTCCTCATCTCTCGGCTCCTTGTCTCCCCCATTTGCTTCTCCCATGTTCTGTCCCTCTGTCCCTTCCTCCCTCTCCACTTCAGCTGTGGGTAGGCATGCCTGCGTGGTACGTTGCCGCCTGCCGTGCTAATGTCAAGAGTGGCGCCATCATGGCCAACTTGTCAGACACCGAGATCCAGCGCGAGATCGGCATTAGCAACCCGTTGCACCGGCTCAAGCTACGCCTCGCCATCCAGGAGATGGTCTCGCTCACCTCACCCTCGGCCCCCGCCTCCTCCCGCACGGTGAGGGTCCAGCGACCAATCCCAGTCCTCTCTCCCTCAGGCCCCGCCTACTGTCTAAACATCAGCCAATCCTGGGCCGGGTCACTTCACCTCCAGCTATTCTGTGTTCCCCAAGGTCCTTCATGAGGACCCTCCCCCCACCTCTTTCTCAGTCTTACTCCTCTGTGTGGCACTTGCTGTTTCCCTTGCTTTTCTTTTTTCTTTTTTTTTTAGAGACAGAGTTTCACTTTGTCGCCCTCGGTAGAGTGCTGTAGAGTCACAGCTCACAGCAACGTCCAGGTCTTGCGTTTAGGCGATTCTCTTGCCTCAGCCTTCCGAGCAGCTGGGACTACAAGTGCCGGCCACAATGTCCGGTTATTTTTTGATGCAGTTTGGCTGGGGCCGGATGAACCCGCCACCCTCGGTATATGGGGCCGGCGCCCTACTCACTGAGCCACAGGGACCGCCCTGTTTCCCTTGCTTGAAACATCCCACCTCTTGTTTTCCCCAGGCTGGTTCTTTCTCATCTTCGGGTTTTCACTAAAACGTCAACCCCCCTGAGAAACCTTCCCTAACTCAACAGCTAAACTTGTCATCCCCAATCACTCCAGCATGTCAACACCTTGTAGTTGCCTTCTAATTATTTACCCTTTGTTCCAACTTTTTATTAAGAGAAATTTCAAACATGTAGCAATTCTTAACCTTTTGCTATACTTGCTGATTGTGTGCACGCCCGTGTTTGTGTATATCTGAGGTATGTGTTGAATATCTCATTCAAAATGTTTGGGAACAGCAGTGTTTTAGATTCCAATTTTTTTCAAATTTTGTAATATTTGCATATACATAATGAGACATCTTGGGGATGGACCAAGTCTAAACAGTAAATTCATTTATGTTTCATATATGCCTTATACACATATCCCAAAGGTAATTTTATACACTATTTTAAATAATTTTATGTGTGAAAAAAAGTTTTGCCTGCATTTTTACTACAACTCATCACAGATTAGGAGTGGAATTTTTCACTTGTGGTGTCATGTTGGTGCCTAAAAACTTTCAAATTTTGGAGGCAGATGGATTGCTTGAGCTCAGGAGTTTGAGACCAGCCTGAGCAAGAGCGAGACTCTTCTCTAAAAACTAGCTGGGCGATGTGGCGGGAGTCTGAGTCAAGAGGATCACTTCAACCCAAGATTTTGAAGTGGCTGTGAACTATGACGCCATAGCACTCTACCGAGGGCGACAAGTAAAACTCTGTCTCAAAAAAAAAAAAGTTTGAACTTTTGGAGTATTTCAGATTTTAGATTTTGGGGTTAAGGATGCTCAACATGTATTGAATGTTTGAGGACATCACAGCAGGTTAGCCCCCAAAATTGCTTCAGTGGGCCATTTTCTTCTTTATGTCCACTATGTTTTTTATCACACCTAAAGCATTGACAGTATTCTTCATTTCATCTGCTATTCAGTCTGTATATTCAAACTTCCCAGCCTATTTACAAAATGTTGATTGTCTTCCCACCATGACCACAAGGACTTTGTCTGTTGTGCTCCTTGGTGTATCCCACAGCCTTGTATCCCTTCCTCACTGTGGGGCTGCTGGGAGCAGTAGCTCAATAAATGTGGACAAACATTTGCCCCATTGCATATACATAATGAGACATCTTGGGGATGGACCAAGTCTAAACAGTAAATTCATTTATGTCCTGTCTCTCCATTCCTCTCTTTCCCCCTCCACTCTGGCACTAACCTTTTCTGTCTCTCCTATTTGTCTCCCTGGGACTCTCCCACATCTCATCTTTATGTCCTGTTTCTTCTTCCTGGCTTTGTCTGCTACCTTCTTTTGAGTATTCAACCTATATGTCTCTGTCAGGTCAGAGATGTGACATTGTTTCCAGGGGACCACTTAGCAAAATGCCAGCAGGGCCTGAATTTGCCCAACTCCATGTTTTTGTACCTGGTATGTGGCAGGTGCTCAAAAAAGGATTATTTTCTCTGTCACTACCTGCCCCTGAGCCAGAAAGCAGGACGTACATAAATGTGTGGCCTTGAGAACACTACCCTATTCCCTTTTCTCTTACTGATGCTCTCTCCCACCTCCATTAACACCCCCTGCCCTCAGTCCACAGGAAATGTGTGGATGACACATGAGGAGATGGAGTCCCTGACGGCCACCACCAAGCCTGTGAGTGCCCCCTGCCGGAGGTCTTGGGGGTGGCACTAACACTCTTTGAGGGCGGGGGGGTGGGGACAGGGTCTGTGGCTGTCTGTAAATCTGTCCCTTCTGTCCTCCTCTATCTGCCCCTTAACCCACCCCTTCTCTCCCCTCTTCCCACTAACGGGATAGGAGACCAAGGAAATCAGCTGGGAGCAGGTAGGGGGTGTGGGGCAGGGCGCATGAACAGGCTGTGCATGCTGCATGGATGCCCCTCCTTCTCCAAGCCTTAACTTACCCTCAATGGAACATTCCATCATTCCTGTGGGGTTGGGGGGGGGAGGCTGGACTGTTTCACTGTGTCTTGGGGATTGGATACGGAAATCTAAACTGTTACTATCAGCCTGGTGCATGGGCCATTGCATCTCTGGGGGTTTGGAGGGGCTCTAGGGGCCATTCGATTGCTATAGCTGGGGAGTAAGGCTGGTGAGCCTGTTTCTCCTCTGGCTGACGGGGAAGGGGCTACATTGTACTGTTCCAGCATATGAGGGCAGAGGGGAAACACTGGTTATGGTGGTGGTAAGGCAGGCCAGACTGAATGAGAATTTAAGCAGGAGGCTTGAGCTCACTTGATATGGAGGAATTATGTTGGACTACAGCCTTTTTTCCTAGCCAGAGGGAGGGATGGATTGGCTCCTAAGGCTGAAAGGAATGAAGGACTTTGAGTTGGTCCAGATGTTGTCCTGGCCCAGATAACAGCATTAGACTAGTATTCTCAGTATGTTATAAGAGTGACTATCCTTTTTTTGGTAGGAAAGCTAGTTGAAAGGATCCACTGTTCTGATCTGGAGAGTAGTTGATATTGGGCAGAGCTAAGGCAGTACTAAACCAGTGTTTCTCATAACATAATATTCAGTATGGTGGTGCACACCTGTACTCCCAGCTACTGGGGAGGTGAGGCAGGAGGACTGCTTGAGCCCAAGAGTTCAAGGGCAGCTGGGGCAACATAGTGAGACCCCATCTCTAAAAATTAATCAATTAATGTATAGGTCAGATCACCTGAGGGTCTTGTGAAGCTGGAGGCACCAATGTCAGTGAGTCTGCAGTAGGATCTGAGATTCTATAATTCCAGCAAGTCCACAGGATGATCCTGTGGGTACCAGAACCACAGTTTGTATAGCTAAGATTGTATTCTCTCACAAAGGAGTAGGAGACAACTTTGGATTAGTCTATCGTTCTGAGCAGAGATTGGTTATTGTCCTTCTATGGAATGAGGAAAGAACAACTTGGATTGGGTGGTGAACTATACTTTCATACATATATGGGAAGGGACCAGAGGGCCTGACCCCTTCCTTACCTGCCCATGGCCCCAGATCCTGGCTTATGGCGACATGAACCACGAGTGGGTGGGGAACGACTGGCTGCCCAGCCTGGGGCTGCCCCAATACCGTAGCTACTTCATGGAGTCACTGGTGGATGCCCGAATGTTGGATCACCTTAACAAGAAGGAGCTCCGGGGCCAACTCAAGATGGTGGACAGCTTCCACAGGTGCGGGCTGCCTGGCAAATGGGGACAGTCCAAGGGGAAGCCCACCGTTAGGGAGTCTTTGGCCTATGGGACTGGCCATAGGAAATTTGCAAGATTATTTTTGGCCCTTTAGCCTGGTTCTCAGGAAATCCTGACTCTAACTCTTCTACTAATAAGATGGTCCATAGGAAAAGTTTACATCTGAAACAGCTTGCCTTGTTAACTCCTACCCCTTCCAGGTTAGCCAGTAGGAATTCCCTGCTGAAAATGCCCCCACCTTCTGGGAGGGTCAACAATCAATAGAACTGATCAACTCCTCAACCTCTCCCAGATGACTGCAGCCAATGGGGAGGGCCCAATAGGAACAGTAGCCAGTGGGGCTGTGTAAGCTCATCTGTGACTCCATTTCCCCTGCTGCTTAGGGTGAGTCTGCATTACGGGATTATGTGCCTGAAACGGCTCAACTATGACCGGAAGGACCTGGAGCGGAGGCGGGAAGAGAGTCAGACCCAGATCCGAGGTAAGTAGAAGAGTGTAAGAGGCCCTCTGGGAGTTAAGTGTAGGGGTACTTATGGGGTTGAAGGCGTGATGGAGAGGCCAGAGAAAAAGAGTTCCACTATAAACGAGGGGTGGCGCCAGCACGGGGGGCGTGGCCAGGAAAGAGGAAAGGGAGCTGGAAATATAGGTGAAACTGGATAATACTATGATACTGGACTTGCCTGGCCATGGCAGGGGAGTGGCTGACAGTCCCTTTCGTCCCTAGACGTGATGGTGTGGTCCAATGAAAGGGTCATGGGTTGGGTGTCCGGGCTGGGCCTGAAGGAATTCGCCACGAACCTCACGGAGAGTGGGGTACACGGGGCGCTGCTCGCCCTGGACGAGACCTTCGACTACTCCGACCTGGCCTTGCTCCTGCAGATCCCCACACAGAATGCACAGGTGAGCTGCCGCTAAGCCTGGAGCATGCTGGGCATCCCCACCTCTCGGACTGCATCTTCCAACCCCTCTTCACCTCCCCTCTCCAGGCCCGGCAGCTCCTGGAGAAGGAATTCAGCAACCTCATTTCCTTAGGCACAGACAGACGACTGGACGAGGTGGGCACGGTAGCATTTCTTTTCTCAGCGGCTGCAGAGTGGCTTGGGGCTACAGAAGTCTGAGCTGAAGGGGTGGGGCCTGAATTTGTTAGCGAGTCCGGATTGGAGGCGAGACCAGTAGAGGGGCGGGGTTAAGGGAGAGGTGAGCCCTTAAGAGGGGTGGAGTCAAGGGAAAGCGCGGGGTCAGACAGGTCCCAAGTTCCTCACCGGTTGCCTGGCTCTTATACCTAGGACAGCGCCAAGTCCTTCAGCCGCTCCCCTTCCTGGCGGAAGATGTTCCGAGAAAAGGACCTCCGAGGCGTAACTCCCGACTCGGCTGAGATGCTGCCCCCCAACTTTCGTTCCGCTGCAGCAGGAGCCCTGGGCTCGCCGGGCCTCCCTCTCCGCAAGCTGCAGCCGGAAGGTGAAGGGCTCCCCAAAACGACATCCTTTATCCCTTCCCCTTCCTCAGGGTGAGAAATGGACCAATTCAACATTGCAGGTTCTCAAATGGCCTTGTCCTTTCTCCCCTACTCTCTAGGAGTGGACCTCTCCAATATTCCAAACTGCCTCCTAGGATGTGGAATGGATAAACTTGAGGGGAAGGGAGGGAAACCGACGTGGAGCCTGATGGTCAGGGAGGAGAAGGCCAAGGGAGAACTCCTGGGGTTGAAGCCAGAGATCTGAGAAACTCTGGGGAGGACCCGGGGAGGGGAGGAGTTCCAAGCTGAACTGTGCTGGCTTTCTGTCCAGGTCAGACTTCTGGGAGTTCCCGGGCAGATGGCGTTTCGGTCCGAACCTATTCCTGCTAGTGCAGGCCTCCAGGTGAGGACTGCCTGGGGAAATAATGGGGGTGTGGGGCGGCACAATGGATCTCCATTGCTACACTGACTGCTCGGCGTCAATGCAGGTGACCTCACTCGAACGGAAGAATCTTCCGGAGGCTGGGCTCTTCCTCTCCTGCCTAGAGTCTGGTCTCTCCGGGGAGAGCTGGCAGGGGAGCTTGTGCCACGGACTGGACCATCTGTACAGAGAGGCGGGAGTGTGCGCGTCCGCTTCCCAGATGGACTGGGCCTGGGCCAGGGCCACACCACACGAACTGGACTGAGAGGGGGCAAGAAGAGGGCAGGAGGAAATCTTGCCCCAAACGTTCGCCTTCCTTTTCTCTACTTTGTAATTTATTGGTTAGTTTCTGGTGGGAGACGGATGCCCTCTACCCGCGGGGAGGGGGCGGGGCTTCCCTCTCGGGCCGCACGCGGTGGGGAGGCTGCCCCTCCCTTTTTTCCTGCCCAGTCGCAGGGCCCAAGTCTTCCTTCTTCGTCCGTAAGGAGGGGAGGGGGATTCGCTGCTACAAGCCTCGCCCCCTGTGCCACTCAGCCCCGCCCTACTGAGTCAGGTCGCTGGTTCCCGGGGTCATCTGCGGGCAGGGTCTCCTCTCCCTCCCCCGTGTCTCGTGTCCCCGGGGCCTCCCCGTCCCCCGTGCTGTGGCCGTGTCTGTGCCCCGGGGGTAGGGGGCGCAGCACTGCGCTCCCCGTTCCCCTCCGGCTCCGGGGTTTGCATGGGAGAATCCTCTTTCCACGATGCCACTGGGCTACGTGATGTGGGGGGACAAAGCGGGGGAGTCGCCCCGATTCTCAGCTGCCTCCCCACCCCGGCGTCACTCAGTGATCACGGGTAAAGAGAACTGTTTCAAAAAGCTCCCGTGTTGATTTCTTTTTTTTTTTGTCCGTACGTTAGGAATGTAAACCAACTACCCTAAGAATCCAAGAGTCCAGGCTCCTCATCCCTCAGGCCCAGGACCAGGTTTCTAGTCCCCACCTGCATCCCTGATGCCCTCAGAGTCCAGACTCCATGCTTGACAATGAGGTTTCAGGGAACACGTTTATTCAGAGAAATAAATATGGTTTGTGGAAGAGGATTGTAGGGCAGGGGGATGTACATCTATGTAGCAGCCTCGTGGCCAGGTCAAGGTTCCGGCGTTTCCAGCATATCTGCCAGGGCTCTAGAGAGAAGGAAGCAGAAGTTAACCAAAGTGTCCAAAACTCACCTCAGGACGCATAGAGATCATTAACCTGCCCATTTCTTGGACCAGGGAAATGGAGTCCTAGGGTCATCCAATAACTCCTTCTGGGACGGACGGAGCTTCTCTAAATAAGGACCTTAAACTTATCCCTCACTTCACACACTTACTGGTACAGGGTCGAGGAGAAATAGTCGACGTAGCTTCCTGTGTGAGAGGAGAGAAAAGAGGGTTGAGGGATACTGCACAAGGGAAATTAGGGGGACATTCTTTGTAGAGTGCAGCATTAGGGACATCTACATCCTTTTTTTTCTAATTGCTTTTCAAACTGAATTTCTTATGCTGGGACTCGGGGCCCCGCCCCCTTTCTTACTCCTTTGAGCAGGGGTCCTCAAACTTTTTAAACGGGGCCAGTTCAC